TCGCACAATGCTCGCTGCCGCATGTCGGCAAGCTTGATTGTGCCCTTGGAGCTGGCGTACATGAACCAGTTGCAGCTGACTGGGTGGAATTCAGCAGCCGTGATGACTTCCGTAAGTTCCTCCATGTTTGCCGGTTTGATGTCGACGATGTTAAAGCTCTGGTCTTGGATGTTCAGGTTCCACAGGTTAATTCGGAGATCATCGCTGCTAATGAAAGTCTCCCCATCGCTGTTGACGGAGATGCTATTGATGTGATACGCATGCGCGTTGGCATAGGTCCTTCGGGGGACAGCGGCCACGACCGTATCATGATGTGTCATCCGAGGAAGCTTCAACATGGAAGGGTCCTTGAAGTTCAGTCGGGGCGCACGGGGCGCGCCGCCACCACCCACACCCGCGGGAGTCAGCTCGCTCGAGAGGTTGTTCTCCGCCACGACCTTCAGAGACTTGTCGAACACCTTCCACAATTTTATCGTCTTATCGTTCGTCGAAAGGAGGAAATGGGATGCATTCTGCCGTCTGCACCATTTAATCTTGTTGATCTTTTCTTCGATCTCCAGGGATTTCAGGTAATCAAACTCCGGTTCGTGCGATTGGAACTCGGTGTGGAATTTGTATTCACAGGTTTTTTTCTGCGCGTATCATTAGATCCGACCGTCGCCAAAATAAATTGCGGAAGCTGGTACCGTTTCGTTCCTCTCAAATAACACCACTCGTCCGCCCTTGTCACCCGTAGCTAAATAGTTTCCAGTGTGGTCGAACTCGACCGTCGAGATAATATCAGCTAGACAACAGAAAAAGGTCAGCTATCGCGCGGAGGCCATCAGAGCGTAGTATGGAAGGCCTTCCGAGAGGCAGATGCATCGAAATAATTCCTCTAAAGGCGTACCTTCTGTGATGTCCTCAACATCTCCTTTGTCACCGAAGCACCTAGTGTCAAGGTTAGTACCACGAACTAACACGAGTTGTACGACGAAAAACGAGGCGCCTCCACGACGGCCTACCGAGCTCCATGCCGGGCAGCAAGACTAAGTGGAAAGAGGGTCGCAGCGGGCTGGAGGGAAGCCTCTCCAGGAAGAGGATACTTGGCAAATGGCACTTACTGCGTGAACTTCCAGGTAGGAGTACCCGGATCCCTGTCTACCATTTTCTTCCGATTCTACCCTCTGTCGGGGCAGTGTCCAGGAAAGCACGAAGGAAGGTGTCAAGATCCACAGGTCGAGGATCTTGGGTTGAGAAAATCAAGGTGGGGTCTGCCGATATCGATATGGTGCGGAGAGACTCGAGCGGGAGAACTTTTCACGCGAAGATCTATGTGGTGGGCGACTAGGAAGAGGAATCGATGGATGCGAGTCACGTAGGTAAGACGACAAGTTACGCTAAGAGGATGAAGCTTGCGTGATGAGGTAGGTTCCAACGCTCGGGTAGGAAATGCAGCGGGCGGAGAAGAAAGGAATCAAGACCGTGACATCCGCCGAGAAGGTGAATTGGCAGGGATCGGGTGAGTCACTTGTATGCTGGAGAAGACGAAAGATTGGCAGCCAGAGCTGACAAGATCAGAAGCAAGAGGATGGAGGAAAGAAGAGGAGTTTTTTGGCGGTCTTTTTTTTTCCGTGGGGGTGGGATTTTAGTCGTGCCTCAAACTCCCTTCTCTCGGGTGCATCAAGATTGGAGTGGGCGGGATTATCTATGAGAAAGAGAAAGAAATCTCAAGGAAACGGCTGAAACCGGCCAGATAGTGTGGCCGATAAAATAGTGGAAAAGCAGAGAGAAGGTGGGAGTTGAAAATGCGGGATGGGGAGGGGGGAAGAGGAGGAGGAGGGGAAGTGGGAAGGAAGAGGATGACGATACTGGGCAAGATGGAGGAGGAGAGGAGGAGGAGTGAAGTGCGGTGGTGGTAGTAGTAGTGGTGCTGGTGCTGGTGCTGGTGCTGGTGCTGGTGGTTGTATGTGGTTGAGGTGAGGCGGTGGTTTGGAAACACCCGCCCGTCGGTCGGTGGTGGTTAGTTGGTGGGGAGGGTGAGTGAGGAAGGAGAGGATGGAGTGGCTGCCCGTAATTCTAAAAAACCCACACGCAGCAACATGGAACAAGTCAACCCAACCCAACTTGAGCTGGGCGCTGACATCAACCACTCTTTTTCATTTTCGACACCTTGATAAGGTACAAGGTAGATCAATGAATCTTCCGCCATCCTGAGGGTTTGTGTCGAAATATGATTGAGTTCTTCATGAAGCAATGTTCTTCCTTACCTTTGTTCTTGCTCTTTACCTTTACTTCTGTTGTCCGGCCGTTATTCTACCTATTCACTTCCCGGTTGTTCTGCACCCGGTCGTGTTATAGCTAGAGCTTCCAGACCACCTCCAAGCTAACTAATCACTACGATGGCCATTACTAACAATGAACGATGCAAGATAACTGACCATTCAGCTGCAAAGGATCTTTCCTCATCCACCACAATGACCGGAGCATCCGTTCGGGCTTGAGCGACTGAGGATGCTCAGCTCCCACTACCAACTTCCCCATCGGGCGTTTTTAGCTGCCTTGAGAATCAGGGTTTCTTCCCATGACCATGCCGGCGGCCTGAGGCTCTTCACATGCTTGTCCCTCTCGACTGTCTATCCATCCCGACCGACGGCGACGCCGTTGAGCCGAGCATTGACTGACTACACTACTACGACGTACTATATAGCTTTGGCGGGAGAAACTAATTCAGTGACATGACAGTTTTGTGACAGTTTTGATTTGTTTTCTTTATCGGCCGATCTCTTTGTCTGTCCCCGCCACCACCGATTGACAGAATATTGTAGGTTGATCCCTCCCTTTCTCTCCCCGCTCGTCACGAACCATGCCCGACAACCAGAAGCGGGGCAACAGTGACGACAAACCCGCCGACCCTCACCGCAAGGAGCCCGAGCCCAAATCCTCCGCCGGGGCCAACGAAGGCGACCAGGATGGCCGTTCGCTAGCCAGTCGCATCCAAGATTCCGCGTCTGGACTCGTCAAAGATGTGTTTTCCACCTCGGGCCAGCCCTCAGCAGAGACCGCTCAATTGCTGGCCGGCAGTGGTAAAGCCCCGTCCGCCTCGTCCTCCTCACAGTCCGCCCTAGCAGCAGCGCAGCAATACCACGAAACCACCGGATTGGGTTCTTCACGGACAGCAGATCAAGCACCGGCCACACAATTCGAAGCATTCCGATCATCGTCCACCGCCCACGCCGGAGGGTTCGAGCTTCCCTCGCTCACAGAAGCTGAATTCCAGCGCACGTATGGGGCAGAATCCCTCAACGGCAGCAATGGAATGTACCTTGCAGCAACCGCACCAGCTGCAGCGGACTTAAGCTCAGTCGACACGGGCAAAGGCAAGGGGAGATGGACACCGAGTCATCACGCTGTCGGCGAAGGGGGTCTGTCTCAGGACAAACAAGGCGGACAAGCGTCCGCCCTTCCGTCTGACGGCGCCGCAGTGGTCTCCCTCCTCTCCGATTTGACCTTCGACCCCAACTTTCCCCCGTCCGCCAACGAGCCAGCGGAGATAATTGAGACCGAACTCTCCGCGCCAGCCCAGCTCACCCCCGCGGAGATCCAGATTCTCGAATCGTTCCGTCGCGTGCTTCCTGCCTCTACCACCAACACACACACCACCAACCACGTAAACTCACATAGTCTCGTCCCTGATATAAGCAGCTTCCTCGACACCGTCCCGTCAGCAGCCAATACAGACGCCGTGACCCTGCGCGACGCGGTCATGACGGGGTTACCAGGCGCAGCGGACTGGCTCGGGGTGGAGGAGCGATACCACGACGAGGTATGGGGCTACCTGCAACCTACCCTGGAAGCCGCCGCCCAGGAGCTACAGTCCAAGGACAGGGATGGTTCAGATGGTCAAGAGAAGGATGGCCCTGCTGTACGACGTCTGAGGATGATCTTGAAGCATATGCAGACGGGTCCTGGTGCAATAGGAAAGTAGCACTTCTGGGAGGTGGACGCGGTGCATGCATTTATATATCATGAGACAGCTCCTGGCCAGGCCTCGTCTGGGGATACAGTCTGTGCAGCGTCTGGGGTTGTCCATTAAGTTGAATTTCTAGCGCTGCGTCAAGCGTCAAGTATCTGCTCCGTTATTTGGGTATATATATATCCAATTCTAAATGCCCGATACACACATAACACTCGTCACATAGACACCGAACTTGAATCTCCCGTGTCTGGATGCACACTTTCAAGTTATTTAACACTAATAATAGGAGATCTCATATCTCCACTCTTCAACATCAGCTCCCAGACATGTGCAAATCTGATTATTGATTGAATGCCCAACTCTCCACCCTCCCATCAAGCAACACAACTAGACTGTGTGTATACCAACCCACATGGCATTTGACCCGATAGATATCGTAAACCAGAACCAACAAACAAACTACCCCAAGAACAGCACCTATCCCATCATCTCCTCAACCACAAAACCCCTAGATTAATTAGTCATACTTGCCTGAGTACAGTGTAGTGCAGATGGTTTAGTATAATTGATGGGCCCAAGCAAACGAAACAACCCCCTTCCACAATCGCCTTTATACCTTGATACCACGATATAAACGCAGACCGACAATCCTTCCATCTTCAATTACGACCCCAGTAGTCACCCAGTATCCAGCGCCAACGACCGTCCATTCGGATATATCTCCAGCTCCCACATAGCACAACCTTAATCAAACATACACTCTACCCAGACCTAGCTAGAACAATCAATCCACCTGCAGCATAGCTCTCCCAATTGTATTGTCACTGGAGGATCCAACCCTTATCTCTAATACAAACCAAAACCAGAGAACCGGGAGACTAAAGACCGCAGCACCCAGCACATCCACCTATCCACCTCACCATCCACCTCACCATCGAGTATACACTGCAGCGCACTGCAACACTGATTTAGGATCTATACTAAACCCCTCAACCCACCCACCCACCACACCCAATCTGCCAAATCCACTTACGGCAGGAATCCGCAATACCCACTGGACCACAGACATCAGACCTTTTCCCTGACTAGATCTACAAGTGAATAGGTAAGTACTGGTTATGAACCCCCTCCCCTTCGTGGTATCCAATTGCGAAACTGTGATAATCATTAGGCAAGACTATCACGCACAAAACACGCCTAGCTACCGAGACACCAGCCCAAATATATGTAGGCCCCCAACCCCAACGGGATATCTAGATACGATACACGCAGTAATCAAACCTCCCTGCCACAGCCCCAAACGCCAAGGAACAGCAACACACACACCCAAAAAAAAGTCATGGAATGAGGTAACAGTTCAGTTCAGTTCGATTCGCTTCGATTCAATCAAGTCAGGTTCGCGCTGACGAGCTAAAGCGGAGAAGCGCAAGCCGGTCTCCAGTCCAGCACGACCTGCGGCGGGGAATGTACTGTAGGTGTAGTCCTAGTATTGCAGGTCGACATGGGACCGGTCCGACAGACCAGGACGCATGGTAGATAGCGCGCAGTGACGCTTCAGTCTAGTCAGAATCTCTGTGCAAATGAAGGTAAGGTATCAGGGATGACTGAGCCTGTGTATAACCTCCCGCGTGCTCCTCTGCCCTTGCTCTGCCCTCTCACTCTGCAATATACCCACCGATTACTACATACCGATCTCCAGCACAAAACCTACCTTAACCCTCCTAGTGGTAACAACCAACCCCACTCATTTCGTGACTAAACCCGAAGAACAATCACCGAAATCGAAATCGAAATCGAAAACATCACCAGACAGATTCATACCCAGCCAATAAATATTATGTACAATTGATACGGAACCACCACCCTCAACCCTTGAATTTGAAGGTCGCATCCTTTTCTTCCCCTTTCCTTATACTGTCAGTCAACCACAGGTCAACTCCTCTCCGACCAAATCTTCGTCTCCAGTGTCTGCAACGACTCCACCGTCAACGGCGCCACGAGCCCGATCATCGAATTGCGCCAGAGATTCGTCGGCGCCGGACGCAGGCTGCTACTCGAGGACGTGGAGGGCGGGGTGGTCGGATACGACGGATGATTCGAGTCTATTGTCGCAGAGGAGGTGGTGGTGGCCGTGGAGGAGCTCGCGCGAGCCAGCAGATCAACCTGGCTATTCGTCGTCGTCGTCGTCGTCGTCGCCGTCGTCATGCTCTTCGCGCTCAGAGACTCGCCCGCCGAGGAGGTCGGCCTCGACACCAACCCCGGGGTTAGACAGCTCGGATGATGGGGCAGATATGGACTGTCCGGGACGGAAAGCTGGGTCTCGGCGCTGCGGATGCTGCTCGCGGTCTTGGAGGCGGTCGTGCCGGTGGTGGCCTGGGATTCGGCGCGGGGCCGGAAATGTGAGGATGGCGAGGAGGCCATCATGTCCACGCTCGGTCGGCGGGGGTCATCCGCAATTGTTGTCGTGGTCGTGGGCCCCTCTTCCTCGGAACCCTCTTCATACTCTTGCCCGGCGGGGATGTAGCATTTCGAGATCAGGTCGTTCTGGATGCACATGATCTTGTTCAGGGCGCGGATCAGGGCGAACTTGAAGCGGACGGTCATCTCCGGGTGCAGCGAGATCCACTCGATCAGCGCGTCTTCCACGTACCGGAGGCAGGCGTTCATGTGGATGTATTCGATGTTCAACGGGTGCAGCAGTTCTTTACCGGTGTGCATCCTCCTTTAGGACCACGTTAGAAAAGTGATACGCGCACGTCTAAGCGAGAGCCGGAGACTCACCCTACCTTCTCCAGATACTCCCAGTACTCCATCTGGCTCGGGTCGTTGCATAGCCGGGTTAGATACCATTTCCAGAAGATCTTGCGGCGCTCGACGTGCGGACTGTCGATCGTGAAGAGATCCTCCACGTGCGCGTGGCAGGCGGTGTTGCGAGTCCGCAACGCGCGGGCTGTGATGTCGAACTCGAGCATTTTGGAATACAGGCGATGCGTGAGGTCGGGGATCGCCGTCTTCAGGTACTTGACGCCTTTGTTGAAGACGATTATATCATCTGGCAGGCAACCCAGGTCAGAAACTCCACATGATCAATTGGGAAAGAAATCCGCACCTTCCACCAGATTCAGGAACGCCTTCAAGTACGCGATGCGCTTCTTGAAGTCCGTGTATAGCTCCCGACGATCCACATGTCGAATATCAAACTGATCCAACTTAGGCCGGTTCGGCATGGTGGCAAGATGTGTAGCTGGTACTTTTCGATACCTTTGGTCTTGGACGGATCCAGTTCACGTGCACTGAGAATCCAACAAAGCGAGCGAGGGTATCAGAGAGTCAGTGGCCAGCCACTTAGCACAGTGTTTCTCGCAAATTGAACAGGAGGGTCAAAACGATCAAGAATCGCTAGACGTAGAAAAGAAAAAAAAAAAAAAAAAAAAAAAAAAAAGCAGCGCAGGGCCTCGCGTGTGTCAGGGAAAGGAGGACCAGCATTTGTACTCTCTCCGAGCAGCAACAGCAGCTAACCACCATTAGCACGCGACTTTTCAGCCCTTGAGTGCCTGCCTGCCTCCTTCAGGGAACCTGGGCCCTGTCGCACGCAACCCGAGGAACTCACTTCCCTGCTATGCTCCACAGGCCACCGCTGCCGCAGGTACAGTACAGTACACACAGCCAACGTAACCACCTCCGAGCATGCTCTCATTTCCACGGACATGCGCGAGAGAGAAGCGGACAGGACAGGACAGCCCAGCCCACCAGGTTCTCAGTCCGCACTGCCCACTTTCCCACCCGCCGTCATCCTGCCCATTGACGACCGGTGTTGAGCACGACTCATGTCGCGGCCCAATAACCACACGGCAAATAGATTAAGATGGAATTGAAGCGAAAGACAAGCGCCCCCCACTCCCACAGCGAAAGCGAAAAGCGAAATCGTCCCCCTGTCAATTAGACCCGGATTCGAGATTGCGAGTGGTCCCAGCAGCTTTTCAGCTCGCGCCGGGTACCATTGCCCCGATCCCACCCCGCAATTGGGTGGGATTGGTGGTGGAGCACTCACGAACGGAGATGATCAGTAAGGTGAATCGTAATAAGGGGCCGATCCCCGAACCACACGAGGAGGGGCTCTTCGGCCGAGGGCAGGTGTGTCGAGGCCGGGATATCGCCGGGGGAATGACAGGGTCGGGTTGGGGGTGATCAGAGGTGGTCGTATTCAAGGATTATAGTGGATGATGGCGGGATAGGATGCAACAGTGGAATCATGGTAAAGGTTGCATGTTGTTGTGTTTGCTTGCTGTTGCAAGTTGCGGCTGGCGTTGCCCGCGTGCGTTTGCCGTCGTCGGAATGGGCCGGAAATCCCGGGCATCGAACTCGGGGGGCGAGTCAGCACAAGCACAGGCACAGGCAAGCGATCAGGCCACTTGAAACAGCCACCAATGACCATGTTTGGTCTAGATAGGTCCAATCATGTTGAAGATTGCAGGTGGATTTAGGGCACCGATCTAGATTGGCCTTACCAGGCCTCCCTTAAGCTCAAGGTGTCAGTCAATTCGATCAGTTGTTCCAATGGTCGACATAGAAAGTAGAGACGGGTTCAACAGCCAAAAGGAGCCAAACAATAAACAAATACGAACCAAGCTAAGATCCTTAGATAATCGTACCACCACGGCCATCATGCATGGATAAGATGCCCAACAAGAAACAAAAACAAATATATCGCTTCATCTATCTAGTTTTGTCCGAACACGAGCCCGAGGGAACAAGCCCAACATGCTACGATATGCATCTAAAATCATGCATCCAACTCCGCTCGTGCCAGTAGAGCTAGACCTGAGCAATTATCTGATCTATCCACCGGACCATGGCTCCATGAACCCGGTTTCACATTGTAATCCACACGAGGGGTCTAGAAGGCCAAGGATCCTCGATTAGGGTCTGTTCCAACTGTCACTCGTTCTCAGGATCCTAGACGGACCTGCATACAATAAGCGCGGGCTATAGTTGCTGTTGCCTGTGAAGCGTGACCCCCACCCACTCCTCATCTTACTATGTAATACATCATCATCCCAGCGCCTTAGTGCATCACTGCTACTTATGATGTACACATATACCCCCTAATCCATCACTATCAGTCAAATCTCTCGTGGACTTCGCCCAAGAAGGCAAGCTGTGTTACCTGCTCCGTACTAAGTCTTGGGGCCCATTCGACTCACCATCTACGCATCCCGACATGTCATCAACACCGGGCCGGACCTCAGGATGAACTCTTGCTATAGTTGTTGAATTATACAGCAGAATCCAAGAATATCCTTCAATTGATGTCTTATACTGCTTGTATTTTACAACCACCGCAGAAAGAACCAAACGTCGAAGCCCCATCAAAGGCATGCATGCATGCATCACAGCAAAGCAAAGCGCAAAAATAATAAAACTGACTAGGGTATGTATCAACATGGCTGCAAGATCATTTTCATCCAAGAAACAAAAACAGACTCTAACGCGCAAATCACAGCTCTAGGCTGGGAGTCTGTCCCTTGACGCGACCGATCACAATGTGGGCAGCGTACTTGGGGATGACCTCGTCGTCGTGGAGCATCGCGAATTCTAATTTGTGGCTGGTCAGTCTCATTCTTCTCGAACATCATGAAGGGAAAACCAACCTTCAGTGGCATCGCGACCCATGAAGTTGAACAAAGCATTGGCGCCGCCGGGGTGCTCCTCCAACCAGTTGGTCACGTCTAATACAACACCCTTGACCACGATCCACAGGTCCTCCTTCTTGTTGTGCTTGGCCACCTCCTCCATGGAGTATTCCGTCTCAGGGATGCTGAACTTGGCCGGGCTGGTGGGCTTGGCAGACTCCGGGGCACCTGCGGGGGTGGCGCTAGACTTCGCGGCCTGGACCGAGTCAGCAGGAGTTCCGGCGGCCGCGGAGACTTGACCACTACCACTACCGGCTCCAGTCCATTCGACGGCGATCTTGCCCGGGGTTGACGGGTCGATGTGCAGGGAGATCTGGCCCAGACGCTGTTGGGCGGTGGACGCGCCACCGGAGAGGAGGCGCTTGAAGAGGAACTGGCTGGCGCTGTCACCGGCAACACGGCCGTAGACGACGCAACCCAGGAGCGAAGAGCCACCCAGGCGGTTGGCGCCGTGGACACCACCGGCAAGCTCACCGCAGGCGTAAAGACCCTCGAAGGGCTGCTGCTCGCTGTTCAGGACCTCGGCGTGCTCGTTGATCTCAATACCACCCATGGTGAAGTGAAGAACGGGCTCCATAAGGGCCACGTGGAAGTCATCATCGATGCTGAAAGGCAAGTTGTGGAAGAAACGCTTGCCCCAAGGGTCTTTCTTCTTGCCATCGGCGATAGCATTATAGTCGTCGAAGGTCTTCTTGAGGGCAGCCTCGCCGCAGCCAATCTCCTTGGCGAGCTCCTTGCCAGTCATCTTCTTCATCAAGCCACGGCCGGAATAGTGACGAGTGTGGAAGTCGAGCACATTGGAAGCCTTGCTATTGAGCACAAGGCGGATGGGCCACTTTTTCTTCTCCTTCTCCTTCCACATCTGTCCAGAGACGTAGTCACGGTGACCCAGCTCGTCCGAGAAACGCTCACCGTCCGAGTTGAGAAGAAGACCACCCTCACCACGGAGCGCCTCGGCAGCCAGGAACTTAAACTTGGCGGTGGGATCCTTGGGGTCGACAAGGCCCGTGGGGTGCACCTGGACCTTGTCCATATCGATTCCGTTGGCGCCGATCTCCATCAACATCTTCTGACCATCACCCGTGGCGTGGGTGCCGTTGGTGCTGGACAGCCCGAAGGTGTCCGGACGGTGCTGCTTGAGCAGGGATCCATCGCCAAAGTCGGCAGCGTAGCCACCAGTGGCCAGAACGACCACACCATCAGCAGTGTGCGTCTCGCCATTGTACTCATAGGTGACACCCGTCACAGTATTTCCGGACTTGTTGATGGAGGTAACGCGGGCCTTCTTGATGATCTGGACACGGTCGGGTTCCGACTCGGTGAGCTCTTCTAACCGTTGCATGAGGGCGTAGGTGATAGCCATTCCGGGGAACTTGGCATCGTGGCCACGGTGGGTGCGGGGCTGGGAGTGACCGCTGCGCGGAATTAGCATGATGGCTCGAAGTCACCAAGATGGTCCGATCACAAGCACAACTCACCCAAGGCGGGAAACTAGCGTCAAATCGAGGTTGAAGACATCCTGCAGCCACTCGACCGCGGAGGCAGAATTGTAGGTCAGGACCTTGATGAGGTCCGGACGAGCTTTATCTCTAGCAGATTTGAGGGTATCTTCGTAGAAAGTCTTGACACTGTCGGGGATTCCCAGGTCGACCTGGGTGCGGGTCAGGGCGCCATTAATACCGGAAGTAGCCTTGGTGGAATTGCCACCGAAGAAGGCTGTCTGGAGTTAGCCTCGAGGACAGAGAGAATATGGAGGCTTTCAACTGCGATCCTTATTTCTATCGAGGAAAGAAAACGCACCCTGCTTGTCTAGAACGAGGACATTTCCACCGTTGAGGTAGATGGTGTGGGCGGCACTAAGACCGGACACTGAGCGACGAGGCAATGGTCAGCAATGCGGGGAAAGCTGGAAGCGGTTAAGTCGGAGACACTCACATCCACCGCCAACTACAATAATCCTGGGGGCAGTCGTCATGATGGGTGTGAGTGTATGAGGGGATGGAGGATAGAATGGAGTGAAGTAAAAAGAGAAACAGAAGATAGATCGGGAGAAAGAAAGGTAAAAGTATTTGAGGAAAGAGAATGATGATGGGCAGATCTTAAGAAAGAAACCCCCAAGGATCCGGGGGAGCGAGAGGGAGCGAGAGGGAATTCCTATGTTCAGAAGCCGATCGGGGGAGAGCTGCTTTATCGGCCGAGGCTCATCCCCATACCCTGTCCATACCATACGTATCGATACCGTCTGCCTGCTCCAGCTCTAATCCTCAGTACTGTATGGGAACAGCTCAATACTGACAGACTGGATATCTTCAGTCAGTCTGTGCTATAGCACAGTGCATACTTATTGACAAGTGTGACCTTAATCCAACTGCTCACCACAACCTGAAAACTACAACGACCTTCAAGAGAGTGCCAGATATCTACACTTTGCCCACTCGAATGTGTGTACCTGTATAGTGACACAAAACCTCCCCCCTTCTTCAAACTGCATACAAATCTTCCATTCATACCATCACATGCCGAAACGCCAGTTGGGGTTTTCCCCAGAAAAGTCAGCAGATGCTCCCCCTTCCCCAGCCCATGATGATGACACAATGGAACTCGAGTCCCTTTCACATGCCGCTGGGACGAGCAAATGAGCGTGTAGGCTTAAGTCAGCCCGTCATTCCCCCGCGCGGACGATCACTTCTCCCCATCCTGGAAGTGCCAGTTTCCAAGTGTCACTGTTTAAGGTATCTTTCCCCGTCTGGGGACATCCCCAGTTGTGTCCACGGTGTCGCTGAAAACACTTGAGCACTCCAGCATTCAGAAAATCGCTATGACTACCGTAACCTTTGAGTTCTACTGTATAATCGCCGAGACAAACCCAGTCGTAATACACCCAAAACATGAACCAGTAGATGGCTCTGTAAGTTGTGCATTAATCAGACCCAGACACACCTCCCTCTCTTCAGCAGACCAACATCCCTGTTCAAGTCCAGTGTACCTCGGACCGAGACATCAGATGGTGGCTTGATTGATCTACTCCGTACAGCAGTACTTCCCCTCAATACTAGGTAGTGAGCCACACCGACCGACTCTCAACTCCTCACCCTGAAGAACAATACTATCCCAAGCGAACAGCAACAAAGTCGAGCCTACAACAATCCCCAGTCCTAAAAACTTCTGACCTTACAAGACACAAACACACTACTGTACAACAACACCACAATCCACCCTCATGGTACTGTACATGTAACACCAACAATACACACCTTAAAAATCGGCAATTGATCACCTGACCCAAACCAGTCGGCAACTGCCAGCCCCCTGCTGACCGCACCACTAAATCCACCAATCAGCAAATCCCCACACGAATTCCGAACGACACTCATGACGTAGCAGCTGTCGTCTATTGAAATTCCTGGATTGAGTAGATTCAGTTGCCGGCATGCCACGCATCCATCATTTGGTAAACCCTCAGGGCTCATTCCCAGGGTGTCTGCATGCGGTGGGTTTAAGGTTATCAACAGAGCAATGGGATAGATCCCAGTTGTATCGATCTTCAATTGGAGGCTTGGTATGGAAAGCAGTTCTTCTGTATCGTTGCACGGTTGCGAAAGCTTGTTTCTGTAATTTACCTTACTGGATGTGCTTTACCCTCGGGGTGAGATAGCCCGACCGTAGGGGGAGGACGCGTCGGGAATTCGGGGTAATTGCTGCAGGGAGATTGTCTTTCCCTGGTGATCGGGCGAGCTGGGAAGACATATATTGATAATTCTCGGGGTAATTTCTACCTCTCGCGAGGAGGGATACGTCGCGTCAACGGGGCAAAGAATGTCAGGTTCGTCGCTCACGGCGGTCGGGATATCATGCACACACCGCGCTAGAAGAGGTTCTATGTACAGTACATCTGATCGCTTGGATCTTGCTTGCTTGCTTTTACACCGGTTCTAGTCCATCCAAGTCACGCTCTTGGTGACAAGGAATTCCTCCAGCCCTTGGGATGAGTTAAAACGGCCCCATCCGCTGTTCTTCACTCCGCCGTGGGGAAGCACGGGCTCGTCATGGACAGTCATGCTGTTGATGTGGACGGCACTGCACGTATGGCAATTAGCAACCTGGACTCGGGAGTCAGAGAGTGCGACAGAGGGAAACCTACCCTGATTGAATCTTCCGGGCCATCGCCAGACCTTTGCGCAGGTCTTCCGTGAACACCGCCGCGGACAGCCCATACCCACTGTTATTCGCCAGGCGAATGGCGTCCTCGTCGCTGTCCACGACCATACAGGCTGCCAAAGAAGCAAAAGCCTCTTCTTGCCACACGGCCATGTTCTCCGTTACATCGCTGAGAAGGATTGGGGGCATGCGCACACCACCTCCAACCCGGGTCGTCTCCTCATCTACCGAGCCAGAAAGCAGCTGGGCGCCATTTTCAAGTGCATTCCAGACCAGCCGTTCGACCCGCTTCTTGGAAGCTATGTTGACCAGCGTCGGAGGAGGGGACGAGGAATCAAGATTAGAGTTAAGCGCCCCCTTGAGCGCATCGATGAAAGCCGGGGCGATGGAGGAGTGCACAAGGATGCGGTCCGTGGACATGCAGATTTGCCCCGACTACAGTGGCGTCAGAATGGCCCAACCCCTCCGGAAACCGGATAGAGAAAAGAACTTACATTGAGGTAAGCACCCGCTAGGACGCCCTTCACGGCGGTCTCAATGTTGGCATCCGCGCGCACGATGGCACTGTTCTTTCCGCCCAACTCCATCAAGCAGGGCTTGAGGTTCTGCCCACAGACGGCGGCAAGCTTTCGGCCCACCGCCGTGCTGCCGGTGAAGTTGATTTTGCGCACCGCCGGGTGCTCAACCATGGTGTTGACCACCGCAGGGGCATCCTGCTGCCGGCAGGAGATTAGGTTGAAGCAGCCGGCTGGCACGCCTGCATCCACGAACGCACGGGCCAGCGCCCAGTAGCTGCAGGGAGTGGCCTCGGAGGATTTAAGGATAGTTGTGTTACCGGCAGCGAGCGCGCAGGCGGCTGCACGAACGCCAAAGACGTACGGGGCGTTCCTTTTCAGAAAAGCGAGTCAGTCAATCTTATCACATATCCCCAAATTGTGGAGAGAGCGTTGCCTGCCTTGCACGACGATCGGGAGAACACAGCACATACCAAGGTACAATACCCAGAATGACCCCCATGGGCTCCTTGTAGATCATCGCACTTTGACCCTCTTCCTCGACGACGGGCACACTGCCACAAATGGAAGTGATGCGCCCCGCGATATCCCTGAGCATGCGAATCCCGAGTGGAACGATGAAGAACTGCGACGCACCCACATCTGCGCCCATCTCCGTCCGCATGTACTCCGCGTTCTGCTCGAGACGACTTTCCAGAATGTCGGCCGCCTTCAGGAGAATGTCCCGCCGCAGGGTGGGTTTGGTCTGCGACCACGCCGGAAACGCCGCCTCTGCTGCCTCCACGGCGCGGATGGCATCCTGTGGGGAGGCCGAGGCAGCTGCCCAGCAAGGCTCGTTGGTGTAGGGGCTGACTACGTCGAATGTAGACTCTGCTAATTCCTCCTTTCCATTGATGATCAAAGGGATCACTGGGGGCCGAGCGGGAGGTGCAGCCACCGCTGGTTTCGTAGCGAGGGGAGTATTTGTCATGGTGGGAAGTCAGGTGGTCTGTGGGATACTAGACTCAAAATCAAGCAAGTAGATTAGAGCATGCACTGAAATTGATATACACCCTGGCAAAACCTGCAGGGTCCTGGCTTGGACCCTGCCGAAGAGGGAGTGCGATCTTCATCTTAAGTATGACTGCTGGGTTGGCGAGGGAAGAATAAACCAGGTCAACAAGAACGGGTCGTACGGGAATCCCCACTCCCGACTCAGCCTAGAGACTGTAGCAACATCGCTATGATTAGCGCAATCAACCTGCACTTATTCTTGGTACTTATGGTCTCAGTGCAATTTATTCCATGTCATCCTGATGATGGCCATGATTTGGACATTCTCAATGCTGGATATGTCCAACTCACCCTAAAGGCTGCTCCTAATGCTAATTCTGCAAGTGATTCATCGTCCACATCATCGTCCACATGTTTTGCACATGGCATGCCGTCATGCAAGTCGATCCGAACGATGATTCTTACCTATTCCAGCTGACAGCGGATTAACCTTACTGAGACTATTGAAGATACTAACTGCCTTGGACTCAACTTTGTCTACCAAAGGACGCACCAAGTGATTCTTTATCGATTTCAAGAACTGTGTGTGGGCATTGCTGTGTGCCTTTAAAAGGAGGTCATCCCCTGACTTGCCGGCCTTTTTAACCGATGGGCACTGGACCGTTGATTTTAGGTAACGCACGACCTTTCTGGGCGTCACAGACAATTGATCGGCGCGGCCGACCATGGTCCAGCACCGCGAAAGGTGTAGACTATTGCTCCTAGTCAACAAGAAGAGCAGGACAGCCCGACTCGAATAATCGAGGAGCGCTCTTGTCAGCGCAATCAATTGGCGAAGCGTTGAATCGGATTCTGGACTCTTTACGGCCGAAAGCACAGGATTCAATTTCGACTCCAATTGTCTGTGGTGGTGGAGTATCCACTCAGCGTGGTGGAGCAGCCTGGCCGGAGGGGAGACTCGGTGGATTCTGGCTTCCTGGCATCTGGTTCAATCAAAGGGCGATCTGACTCCGATGATCATCTGGATCGGGGAAGAGAGCAGCTGAAATGCTCCAGCACAGTTCCCTCTTTGGCTGCTAGGCTGCCGTTCATATGCGCATATTTGTCTGCCCACCCACCCTGGATTTGACCGGCTAGGAGTCGAATCGATGATGCAGGTGCAGAGCGATGGTGGTGAAGGCGCGACTAGTGAACGACTTCCATGGGTCAGACAGTTCTTGAGCGATTTCATCCCTTAATGATTGTCACAGCCTCTCCAACTTTATGTCACGAGAAAAGGAGAGGAGACTGATGCCTCGGTTGCATTGCTACTTGGTAATAGGTACTAAGTACTAAGTATATACGCAAGCAATCAATCAATCGAAAGCCGATGGTCGTCAAGCTTGACTAAATCGGTACCGTCATGGACTCATGGTCCGAACCCGCGGAACCCCGCCCGGGACCGATCGAGGCAAGCGTGGCGGGATGGCGCCGAATTCCCGTCGGACTCTGAACTGACTCGTTCCAATCTAGAGCTCACTCTCTTTCTCTGTGACTCTCGCTTCCTTTCTCCCGCTCCTCTCCGTCCAGAACCAAGGGTTCGGTGGTTCTTTCTTTGGACGGTGGAGCCCAATTTCAAGGCACGAGCCATGCCACCTGCAAACGCTAGTCGTGCGTGGTTTCACCTCCTACTTTATTCACATAATCAACATAATCAATGGTTGCTCCTGCTCCTGCCTTTTCTAGAATAATTGATGCATCAGGAAGATAATCCCTGTATAAGCTCATTTGGCCGGGACTACGAACCACCCGCAGAAAATTTTCACCTCTTCTGCCTGCAGAGAATCTCATTGAAATTCGGAACGTGCATACTGGACTCCAACGTTGCCTTGCCACGAGCTGACGCAGATCCTCTGATCTCGGCTCGTGCTTTCTCAAGATCGGCGGGTGAAAGCCTCTTTTGCCATGTTGAAGCAATCACCTACTCCACCGTGGCAGCAGGTGGTCCTACTCGTCGGTGTCGAGCTGGGAACGAGATTTGCCCAGTGCATCCCACAATGTCTCAAGCTTCCAATAAATGACAAATGCGCCAGTTCGCAAGCACTAGTAGGCGAGGATCCTTCGCTCCGGATTTCTTATGCTGAGACCCATCGGGCAGGTCCTCATATGATCTGGCTATGCAATGTGTAGGCTACATATTAAGCGGGTTTCCACTTGTTCCTGCGGACTCCGTGAGCCTCAGTCTTCATTTAAGCTAATTGCTGTTTGACCCGGGGGTGGCCTTCATATCGATCGTCAATATCTAGGATCGCTACAACACTATTCTGAGGCGCTGATATCACTGGCTTTGGCCTAGTATCCACCCCCGTGTACATACTCAATCAATGATGTTGTGATTGTCACATTTCACCTCAAACATATAACCTGTCATTCATTTATCCATTTCCGTTCTCTTCATCCAACTATAACCTTTACCGATACACCCACCATGGTCCTCACCGCGAGAGGGAAGGAGATGATATGCATCGTGTCGGTGCTGGTCGGTCTCTCCTTTATTGCAGTCATACTGCGCGCAATCGCCAGACTGAAGCGAAGAGTTCACTTTGGCGTTGACGACTATCTTTCCTTTGCGTCAATTATCCTCCTCCTCGGCATGCTGATTGAACTGGGGCTCTGTAAGTCGAGCGACGCCGCCATCACCTCGAAACCCGCTAACCTCACACCAAGGGGTGACCATCGGAGGCAACGGAGCCCACCAAGACAGCCTGAACAATGGCACCATGATGAACTTCTACAAGGTAAGCCCCCCTTTTTCTAAAGACACCTGATCAAGCAACTGACCCCGAATACATAGATCTTCCTGGCCAACCAATTCACCTACTTCCTCCTCTGCCCGGCCATCAAAGTCTCGATCATCTGTTTCTACCGGCGGGTCTTCACGACCAAGCCCTTCCAATGGACGACGCTGGGCATCAACATCCTGATCACGCTGTGGGGGCTCGCGATCTTCCTGGCCTGCGCGCTGCAGTGCCGGCCGCTGCGGGCCTACTGGGACCACGGCGTGGCGGGCCAATGCCTGGACGGGATGACACTGATCATCACGAACCAGGCGTTCAACGTGCTGATGGACTTCGTGATCCTGGTGCTCCCGATCCCGATGATCTGGGGCCTGCACCGCGCCTGGCAGGACAAGCTGGCGCTAAACGGGGTGTTCGCGCTGGGCGCCTTCGTCTGCTTCGCCAGCATCTACCGCATCGTCGTGCTCTTCTGGATCGACGCCGCCGACACCACTTATACCGTCTACCAGGCCACGCTGTGGACCCACGTCGAGCCCTCCATCGGCCTCATCTGCTCGTGTCTGCCCATCATCCGCGGCCTGTTCCCGCGCTTCAAGGTCCCCAGCCACCGCCGCTACCGCTCCGCCCCCTACTACATCCCCACCGACGTCAGCACCTCGCAGTTCGTCGTCTCCGCCGCCGGCGCCAAGTCCTCCCCTAGTGCTGCGGCGGCCGCAGCCTCCGATTTCTACAAAATGGAGGAAGGCCTCGGCTCGCGCTCCACCTCGACCGACGAGCGCGACGGCTCGATCTCGTCCATCTTCGCGCAGAGCCATCACCACCACCACCATCCCATGGACATCACCGTGCGCACGGATATCAAGATCAGCGAGGATAATTCGAGCGGTCGTGCGTGAGAGACATCTGCACACTTCGCTAAAATCTCAACTCAACAACTGCCAAAACCTCAAGGAACCAGTCAGTACCCAGGCGCAACACCGAGCCATAAACGGGATCACAAACCCCCAATGTGCCACCCGACCAAACCAACCACCTCCCTCACAGAGTCGAGATGTCAAAACCATCACGAAAATCCACATAAAAGGCTGACCGTGTTGCCTGGCACGTGTCGCCAGGGGTGTGAAACGCCGTCCGGCCAATCAGCTACCGCGCTGCGTCGAGATGTCAACCGATCACGAAAATCCACCGCTAGGGCTGAGCTCCTGGCTACGTTACTCGGGACGCGTGGACGCGCTGAGGGCCAATCAGGTGGCTGGAGCTGGCGAGATGTCAACTGATCACGAAAATCCACCCTTAGGGCTGGACGTGTTTGTTGGCCATGTGGCAGGGGGCTCGCCAGTGCGGTGCCAGGTGATCTGATAAGATGTGGGGGGTTGCGTGGGATGGATGGGCTGGATGGAGGAAGGGTGGGTGGAGTGAATGGTGGGTGGTGATGATGATAACTCCCGTTCCTCATTGCAGTAGCTGTGCCTCTGTAGAGGTCAACGAGGTGAGAGGGTCCGGCGAGGATATGCAATGCCCGATGCTGGATCGTGGTTTACGGGTTACGGTGATCGTGGACGATGCTTCCTTGGCACATACTAGAGGACGGATTTCGTCGGCCGTGTTCATCTTCAAGGCGAAGGGACAGACACATACCCCAAGTGAGGTAGAAGGGATCTATGCTCCTTAACGCACTCTTTACTCTCGGCATGTTAATCTCGTAGGACAGAAAACTTAGAATAGACGAACGCTAATGACCGCAACGAAGATTATGATTTATTGTATCCTTCCCCCATCATCCTCTTCCCTATCTGATGACACTCCTTGTTTCAGACCTTACCTGTCAGCCGGCCGAGATCCCAATGTGCGCAACTGACAAGAGCCCCTTTTCCCACGGAGCCGCGCCCATGAACGACCGAACCCCTCAATGCACCGCCGCCTGCTCAGCAACAAATTCCTAGAGCCACAAGTTAGCACTCCTGCCCCATGATCCAAGGAACAGGCCGACCTACCGGAAACGCCTCTGTGATACTCGTAGCCACGCGCTCTACATCCTCCGCCAGACTCTGCACGCCCGCGTCCCACTGCCGGATATGCCTCCCGAAGGCGACCGACGACGAGCCGGCCGCCTCGAAGTGGATGACCCCATCGATCTGATCGATAGTCCCCTTCAACCGACCCTGCTCCACCATGCGCGCCGCATACGCCTCGGCCTTCTCGCCCGCCGTAAACTCGCCGCTCGCCTGCAGCCCCAGAATCACAGCCAGCGCGTCCGTCGTGATATTCTCGTAGAGCTTACTCGCGGCGACAAGGTTATGCTCGACGACAGCCTTATCCAGCACGGTGGAGCCATCGGCCGTGACGGCCAGCTGGTGGGGGGCCAGCCGCAGGGCGAAGGCGGCGACCTCGGCGGGCACGAGCAAGCGATCGAGGAACATCTTCTCGAGGATGGCGAACTCGTCCACGGAGGTGGCGCGCTCGTCCTTGTACAGGGTGCCCAGGAGGCGGGCGCGCTGGGGCCCGGCGGGGGCCAGCACCGCGCAGCGGATGGCGGCGGCCAGCGCGTGCAACCGGTCCGCCTCGTCCACGAGGCCGGCCGCCAGACTCACCCCGAAGTACTCCTGGCTGGCGTCGAGGAACCGGCGGCGGGCGTCGAAGACGCGCGCCTGCGCCAGCTTGAAGTGCAGTTTCAGCTCGGGGTCCACGATCTTGGTCGGCAGGTTCTTGATCCGGTTCAGCACCGCCTCCGCGCTCGTCGTGTCGTCCTCCTCCAGGTACAGCCGCACGATCCGGATCCACAGCCGTACCTTCGCCAGGTCCGTCACCTGCCGCTGCGAGCTGTCGATGTGGATCCCCTGCAGCGCTCGCGCTGCTGCGAGGTAGTCCTCCTCCGCCTCGTACGCGTCCGCCAGGATCTCCCGGATCGAGGCGTCTTGTTCCTCCACCGAGGTCGAGCGCGACTGCAGCAGAGCCACGGCGTGTTGGCCGACGGTGATCTTGGTGGGCGAGGGGAGCGGCCGCAGGAGCGTGACGAAGTGGTCGAGGAGCGGCCGCGCGGCGACGATGCTGAGGCTTTCGCTGAGGATCGAGTCTAGGTAGGCGGTTAGGTCTTGGGGTAGCTGGGTGGGTGGTGTCGTGTTGACGAGCTCGGTGAGGAGGTCGATGTACTGCTGGAGCTTGGTGGGCGTGTTGGTCGAGGCTTCGATCTCCGATAATGCGGAGGTGAGTTTTTGGGAGGCCATGGTGGGGATATCGTGAGGGGGTTGTCGGGGGTGGGATGGTGAGAAGCTGAGACGGATAGGACGTGTCACAGTTTGGAGTGTTATTGAGGGAGTGTTGGCATAAAGGTCGTGGCAGGTTGGAGTTCAGGAGATGAGGGATGTGTTGCTTGTTGCTTTGTCGGTGGAAGACGTCGGCGATGGAAGCTGGAGGCGTAGGATCGCTTATCGATAAGCGGCTCAGCTCAGCTCCGATTAAGGTATAAAGTTAACACACCACTGTCTTCACCCGTGAGGTTGACGATTCAATTAGCCCGGTTTTTAACGAATCACCTTTAAAAGGATCTATGCGAGAGGTCAAGAACATGCTAAGGTGCTGTCATAGCTGGGATGATCGCCTTACCGGAGTCTAATGCAGGAGTGTGTTAACTTCATCAATCAATCAGTCTTACCCTCAATCACTATTGTCCAGGCATCTTCCCAGATGTCTCATGCAGCTAGAAATCATGAAACAGGAAATGTTATTCCCCATCAAGTTTGTTCTACCGCATCCGCAAACCGAAACAAAGAATTAGTTAAGATTACTGAAGTCAAAACAGAGAACCTCCAAAGAACCTTCTAAACACAGGCTGGAGTGCTTCTACCAATCCCCCCCGAGAGTTTGCCACACCGCCTTGGATCCCGCCCGTTGAACTGCAAAGCGGAGAGAAAGAAAGAGCCCGAAGCATGCAACCTCCCCCCATCAATCAGCTCTCACTCCCCCCTCTTCCACTTCTTTCACCACTTCCCGGGGTACTTCATTGACTGTCGCCCAATTTCGAGAAGCAGACAACCCTCGCCTTCGTGCACTGCCGCCCAAGTCACCCTCCCCGACAACCCGAGCCACCGCAACAACCCACTTGCCTGGCGTCATGGTTCCCCAAATCAAGCAGGACCCAGACGCTCAGACGGCGCCATACATCAAACCCGACCCCGAGAGCAAAGACACCGTCCTCGCCGACATCGACGACGAGGATCTGTACGAAGATGCCGGCGATCTAGATTTCTCGCAGGCGCAGCGGAGCGTGTGGCTCTCGCGCCTGCCCCGGTCGCTATGGGAGCATTGGTCGAACATCACCAACCACCTGGACGACGACGAGGAGGTTCAGATCGGAACGATGAGAGTGGAAGGGACGCCGAAAGATATCAAACGAGTAAGTGACTTGGAAAAATCCGGATGGAACTTGTTTTCCCCCTCAGGATAGCTTCGTTGTGCTGGGGATGAATTGCGCATAAGCTAACAACCGAGCTTCTCTCGCGTTGTAGGTCAGTTTGCGCATCCCCGAGCGAGACGATAACCGCGAAATCCCCAAAGACTATATCCTGCAGCGACAGACGATAAACACGGAAGCCACGTCACACTCGACGCAAAACACCTACCTCTTTACGGAACGGGAAATCCCCGGCCAGGAAAATCGCATGGTCGTCTTTGGCGAGGCCCGTTCCGCGCTGTATGAATCGATGAAGCGTGAGATGAAGAAGAAGGAGCGCAAGAAGAAGTGGGAGCCCTACGTGCGCAAGACTGTGCCTAGTATGTATTGTCCGGGGGGAGGTGCTGGGCTTGATGTTGTCGCTTACACGGATACTAGAACAAACGGCGTTGGTTGGCAGTATTGGGGAAGAGTTCAACTGCTTGCCGGTTGAGAACGAGGAATTCAGGATGTTGTCGGAAAAGAAGGCCATGGAGGCGCTGAAACCCAAGCGTGAGACCGTCTTCATCGATAAGATCCCCGGCAAACTGCTCCAGTCGCGGAATGCGCTGCCGAGCGACAAGGGTGCCTTTGTGGTAAGTTGTGGATATCCTGGGTCGCTTGTATTCGGATCTTATGCTAAATCACCAATCAGCAAGCCACCAAGCCTGCCAAGCTCAAGGCCCAGGAGAACAAAACCACGCGTATGCCGCAGAACGAGCTGCTGGATCTCATCTACCAGGCCTTCCGCGAGTACAGGTACTGGCCTTTTAAGACGCTCAAGGCCCGGCTACGACAGCCTGAGGCATATCTCAAGCAGACTCTGGAGTTGGTGGCTCATTTGGTCAAGTCGGGAGACTTCGCAATGACCTGGGAGCTCAAGCCGGAATTCAAGGAGAGCAACTATGCGACCGCGATGGCCTATGGCAATGCCAAGGAGGAGCTTCCTCCTGGTCTCGACTATAACTTTGATGAAGCCTCGGAGGATGATCCGATGGCGTCGGGAATGGTGACTGATAATGATGATGCACAGTTTGAGAATGTTGTCTAAAGAGCACCGGGATGTATCTTGCATAGGCCATGGCGTTTCCTCTCTTCTTTCACTCTTTTGGGTTACTGGAGTGATGTTTTCATACAGATTTGTTTTAGATACATCTAGTGAGGGTTGAGACCACTGGCTCGCCCATCACGTACTAGCTATCGATTTCCATTGTATCATATTACTTAAGTAGAGTTCAAGTGAGGCCAGCTTCTTCGGCCAAGCGAGGATCAACATTCTTGCCGGGCATGAATTTACATCTCCAACACGGTGAAATGATGTAATCACGTGACCCATTTGCCGCTGGCGGCTTTCGTCACTCACACTCTCTCTCTCGTATCAACAACACGCTCAGTAGCTTGACTCCGATTCACAATTCAACCAAACTCCCAAAACAGACAACACATCATTCTCACTGTAATTTATTAACGTGACCGGTGATTTGACTTCGCCACCATGACAGAAGATCAAGATCTCATGGCTAAGATCAGCCAGCTTGCTGGTAAGCCGGAGCATTCATTCATCCTTGCGCGCGAGCGCTCTCATCCAGCTGCAACCCGCTAAACCTCTCGACACCAGGCCAGATCAACCGACACAAAAACCAACACACGGAGTCCCCTTACACCAGTGAGATCCCCGCCGGCCAATATGCATCACGGCATGTGCCATCGCGGGGACGAGGCTGGGCGCCGTATCGCGGCCGACAGTACCACCCTCGCGGCGGCCGCCCTGTCGCTGCCCCCCACCGCCACCGCACGCTCATCCTCAACAACACTACCACAGCTTCGGGAACCCCCGGCTCGACGCCTTCTGCGGGAGTCGGGACGGACACTGAAGGGGAAGCCAGCAGCACCCACAACAACAACAACAACAACAACAAGTGGGTGGCGAAGCGCGACCGGCACATGCAGTTGATCAACTCGGCCATTTACGACAAGGAGGCTCAGTCGCGCGCCAAGGCGATGGAGGCTAGCCGCAAGGCAAAGTCGCAGAAGAAGGCTCAGATCGAGCAGGCGAGAGTGTTACGGTATGCGCAGGGCCATGGTCGGATGTATCAATCGTCGGGGTTCGGCGCCCCGCCGCCGGTTGCTACTACTGCTACCGCCGTTGCCGCGGGTGAGCCGGGTGCTGAATACCAAGTTCTGGTCAACGAGGTGCCCTTCCGAGTTGCGCGCGGCGGAAGTAAACTGATCAGAGTGTCTGGTGCGTGTTTCTAATTCCGGATTTTTTGTTTCTTTTTCTCTCTCTCCGGGGACCCTCCCCCCTCTGTGCGAGAGCTGGCTTACCGATGGTAGATGATCCGAATACGGCCAACAACACGCCCAAGAGAGTCACGATCGCTGGGGTGGTCTTTGTGCGCAGCAAGAATGGTAACCTGCATCGGCTGGGTGCCGTTACGTCGAAAAGGTGACTGTCTCATTTTGAACCTTGTGTGCTTGCACTTACATCTATTACAGAAAGCCGATGGCGGTTAAGAAGAAGGACGCTCTGTGCCAGCGATTTACTACGACGGGTACCGACACTTTCCCCACTATAGGCTTTCGGCCGCCTATTATCCCTTTGCTCCCCTTCCCTTTACCGTATGCTTGCCTTGGATAAGTGCTAACCCGACTGTGTATCGGATGGTCTATAGGCAGTTGCTACAAAGGACCTTTGTGTCCCTACACGCACGATCCCCACAAAGTCGCCATTTGCAAGGATTTCCTCCAGACTGGTAAATGCAGCTCAGGTATGAGTTGTGATCTCTCCCATGAGCCTTCGCCCCATCGATCCCCTGCATGTGTGCATTTTCTTCGCGGGCGCTGCGCGAACCCCGAGTGTCGCTACGCCCATGTTCGGGTGACACCTGGCGCTCCTGTGTGCAGAGACTTTGCCATCCTAGGGTACTGCGAGAAAGGCGCCGAGTGCGACCAACGACACGTGCACGAGTGTCCCGACTACGCCAACACGGGCGTGTGCCAGAAGAAAAACTGCCGATTGCCCCATGTCGACCGCGCCGGGCAGATCAGGAAGAATGCCGCCACCAAGACTGAGGGCGACGATGACGACGAGGAGTCGGACGCCTCCAGCGATGACGAAGAATACAACGCAATCGACTCGGATGACGTCGACTCGGACGATCTGGACGACGATGAGCCGGAGCTCATCGCTGCTGCCGGGGATGACATCGGTGACCTCGCGCGGCAGCAGGACTTTGTCCCCCTCTAATTGTTCACCCTTTTGCCCACTGACACCCGTAGCAGTTCTGTAATTGACACTTGGCTGTGATAGTATGGAATTGAATAGCATCGCTGGCAGAATCTGAAACAAGACGAAGTGAAAAAAAAAAGTGAAACTGGGATGCAAGAACAAAAACAAGGAATGGAGACAGTGAAATCAAACTTGCTTTGGAATAAGTTTTATGATACCTCATGGACTGTCTGTCGTGTACCAGTTGCAGGCAATGATACCCCTCCTCAGGATGTTTCGTATGTCAATTGATTAAAGATAGAAATGAGACTGTGTTTTGGACCTGAATTGGGCGAGCATTGAATATTGTAGATGATCGTGTCTCCAGCTGAGTACAGTGGACGAATAAAGGAAGGGAGAAACCCCCGCGCTGCAGGACATCCACACTGCTCTGCTTCGAATCCTCATGTCTGCACCTCCCTGGTACATACAGAATCCTAAGCCAGGGAGTCGGAGGGAGGGGGAGATCAGGCAGTACCCATCTGTGAGTCACTCGACCAGGTGAATAGTCGGTGATCATCAGCTAGAGCTTACTAGGTAGTTTAGGTTAGCTACCTTATCTTACCTGGCTTGACTCCCAGCTAGGTAGCTATTTGGTCAATTTCCACTAATCCAGCTAATTAACTCCTAATCAAGAATAATAAAGAACTCGAAATAAGTATCTATGCTGTGTCCAACCCCATTCCTATCCCCCTCCCACATCCACATCCACATCCACATCCACACCTCGTGGATCCGCATCCGATGGGCATGCAATGCAATGCAGGCTCCCTTTCCTTTCTTTCCTCCTTTCCTCCTTCCTATCTTCCCAAACGAACCAGGGGCCCATTCTCTCCTCCCAAGTCGGTGAGGAAGAGCTGCAACCAACGGTACTGGACTCTTCCTGGCAACCTCGCCGCATCACTGGTTGCTTCATCTGATGCTCCTTTGATTGCCGGAGGGGGGGGGGATGGCCTTTCGTCTGGGTAGTGTTATTCCTACCTAACGTCTGCTGCTCCAGTCCGTCAGACGGTGACCGCGTGTTCCTGGGTAAGAAGAGGGATTGTTTCATGTTTGCGAGGCGTTGATCTGCTGGTGGACTGGTAGCCATCCGATGTTCCATGAAGCTGGATGCAGTATCCGGGGGAAATCGTCTCACACCGCACCTGCATAGGGAGTCAGTCTGTCTGTCTGTCACTCAATAACGATCCTACTCACAGTAAGTGAGGAGAAAGAGGCGGTCCGAACGCCCACCGCAACAAGCGCATAGCGCATACACTAAATCACACATGTTGTGCTGCATGACAAGGCGATCCGATCCCCCTGGTCAATGCAGCAGTGCATTAATGTAGCCAAATCCGTGCCTGATTCTTTCGGTCTGCTGCTGCTGCTGCTACTACTGCTACATTTGCTCTGGCTTCTCCCCTTTTTCCTTCAGCTCTCTATCATCACCGCTCATTGGGGAGAAAGCTGCTTCCCCCGCCAATCGTCAGTCTTCCTGTCAACGCCGAATAGCTTTCTTCTTTTCTTGATTCCCGGGAACTAGAAACTGAAACTGCAGGACCTCGTTCACTAACTTCCTGGGGGGGAATATCGACTCTCTTCCGATAGGAGGAAGTGGGACTTGACGGATGTGCTGACTCGGTCCACATCGTGCTGCTCCTCTTTTCTCCATCTTCGCTGCGCTTGCCTCCGTTATCATCTGCTGTTCCTGGTACCTACCGATTCATCCGTCAGGCTGACTGAACCTCTCTCTCGCGTGGTCCAGATACCTTGACCTAACTGTCGGACCCGCTCAGAGGAACGGTGATTCGTGGTTACACGTAGATCAGGTCAGGTTGAAACACTCCGCAAGCTCTCTACCTTACTTGGTTCAAGGCTGATGCTACACAGTAGTCTTAAATCGTTAACCTATGGGAAACGAGTGTGTCAGGTCGAAACACACCTCCGGGGATGAACGGACACTTTCTGTCATTATTGTTCGTCTCCAGTGTCAACTATGCCAGCCATCCCCGGGTTGCAGATGTTTCAAGGACCGAACCACCAATGCTTCGCTTTTCCCTAGAACTTGGAGCTTACGATGTACATAATAATGCCGGTCAATGGTTGCTCTGCCCTACGACGTGACTATCGGTAGCTACCGCGTTGGGCAACAATCACATCATGCAACCACATTCTTGATCCAAAGGCCAATCGTTAACAAAGCAACCGAGCAACAACCGGGCTACTGACCTCTTTCCCGACTTGAAATTCTAGCATAGCTAATTACCGGACGGCTCTGCTGATCGGGATAAGCGTTGCAGGCGGGTTTGATCGCCCGTTCGCACTAATTGACTTTTGAGGGTTTTCTTCCCGTGCGTGGCTGCTGGCCTGCCACAGTACTCAGGATCTCAACCATCGGACTTGACTGAAAGTGGCCTGCGGAGCTTAGAATATCCACTATCATACCGACACCCATTTGCTTCGAGAAAGGCGGTTACTTGGATATATCCGTTTGCCTTGACATAAGCGCTCCAGCTAGGTCCACCGTTAAACATTCCCAATTGGGTCCTCCCCGCCGGCCTTTGTACTGTACACCGCCAGAATGACATCTCCAGAAAGTCATTCCGTCGAGCAAATTACCCGGAACAGTGGCTGTCACCGAGATTATTATTGATGGGTAGTGATCTTCCTTTCCGCGATGGCGACTTTTTTGTTTTGACGGAGACATGACGGCGGAAACTTTGTTCGACCGCTTCTTTTACGTACGCCACACGCACGCACGGCCTATTCCATCCAGGAACCAGGTGGGGACTACTCGGTAGTGTATACCCACCACGCACACACCGTACCTGTTCGTTTCCGGGTTTGGTCTTGATGCTCTGCACTGCAACTCCAAGGCCTCCTACTTCCTGTCTCTACCGCTCGGAGACACTCGCCTTGATCATGTTTCATATTCACCGACTACCACATCCGATTGGGAGCTTTGGGTGTTTCTTGTGCGTTGTCGGGTTGTGAT